TTATAAAACTCATTAATATTCATAAGGCAAAACACAATAGAAATCATAGCCCATGAAGAGAGTTGTATATTACATACAGATTTCTTGTTCATTTGCATAAACTTTAACTCTGATTTTCTCGGTCAGATTGATTTTTTTTTCAAAAGTTTCTTTAAAACCTGAGCTAGTTTACCTCAACGTTTCATAAGTAATATACAATATTTGCGCGCGATCTGTATGAGGTTTAAAACAGCTCGCTTTCAGCTCGCTGTTTTAAATCCTCATACAGATCGCCCGCTCATATTGTATATATTACCTACAGACCAATATTCAATAATTGAGTTTTTGTAATGTTTGTTTCAGTGCTTTTTGCCGTTACCATCGTCCATCGCAGAATGTCAAGAGTACTAGTCAGTTGTGTCCTATTTGTTTGTGTGATATTGATAACATTGATAGAATCAACAGTATTAGTTCACCTTGCTGTAAGAACTCACTCTTCCATAGGACTTGCTTACAGGTAAGAAACGACCTGCGTCTACCCACATGTCTGTCCATCTGTTGTGTTTGTTCTTCCATTCATTGATTTATTTATCACCCATCTATTTTAATGTCAAGCTACCATTCATTCATCCATGCATCCAACTATTCAGATGTTCATCCATTTATTCAATTATTCATTCATTTATTTGTTCAATAAATTTAATTCTTCACAACAGATTTTTCCTTCATTCTTTCAGTTTCTGAATTATTTCTTATCAAGTTACTCATCATTCATTCATTCTTTTAATCCCATTTTTTTCTTTATCCATCTACCGGTATGAAATATACATTTTTTACCTGCTGTCTTTTGGACTTAATCGGTTAATGCATTCATCTATTTATTCATTATAATCATTTAACCAGACAAAAACACTTTTTTGTAATTAAGACAAAACTACAAACTGTTAAATTATTTCATTGAACTTTCATCTATTTTTCCAGTTGATTACAAGTTGTAATTGTGTTTTTCTTACACAGAAACAAGCACTTTCCAGTGGTTTGCACTTCTTTAGATGRGCATTATGCAACAACTTGGAAATGTTTCAGCAGGAGATGAATAGAATGGGGATCTARATCCCTGAAAGGTTAGCATGTAAAATGTGTGAACATGAAATATTTGATTTCCCTTATTATATATTCTCATATATTCTATATATTTTTAAATCCATTATATTAAAGTGCTACTTGCATGAAAATGGCCTTATTTCAAAACTTCAAGCAACACAAATATATGACTCATTTTATCTATTAAAAACAATTGCGGGAAAATATTTGTTTTGGAAATGTCCCACATCAGAGAAATTTTGATTCAAAAGATGGAAGAACAAAAGGATGAAAAAAATAAATGACGTCATCTACTCCAACATTTTTTGCCCAAATTATTYKYGATTTYTATCAATATCTTCTTAAAATCTGTTGCTTCATGGTTATTAGACCCATATGGATAGTTCTATTTGATTTCCAAGTCTTTTCTAATGTTTTGCAATTTTTGTCCAAGTACCCCTTTAACCTTTCTACATTTATTTTCATTTTGTATTTGTTGTTTAGAGARGCAGCCTGGGAACAAGGTGATGCTTATGCAGACTTACTACAGTCTTACAACAAATGTGACAGCTCCACTTGTTTGTGTCCTAATGGAAGAGATTTTACAGGAGATCATGAGTGAGTAATTCTGGTGTTTTCCAAAACAGCATTTATGTATAGTTTAAAACATGAGAGAGAGTGTTTTATCAGGTATAAAGATTCGAGCCGAATACCTGATAAAACATGATCTCGAGTGTTTTAAACGGCTTAAAAAACTCCAACACTAATTTGAAACTCAAATCCGTTAAATTCTTTGAGAAATTGCCGTACAAATATGTTCAGAGATAAATGAGGCAAACTGATCATGCACGAAATAACTTTACAAGGCACTCTTGTCATCCCACATTGAATACACATAAAGTAAAATAGAACTGCTCTTGGCTGTTCACTGAAATCGGTTGACATCCTGCATTGGTTAATGATCAGGTTTCAAACCTGAGACCTTTGCTAGGGTCATGGACCTTTATATCTGATAAAGGTCACCCTTATTAGTATTCTTTATATAAAGAATACTAATAAGGAGTGTTTTATCAGATATAAAGGTCCATGCATGTGACCAAATAGGCTCATTCTATTGGCCTAGTAGCTCATTAATTATGTAAGAGTTTGTTAATATTATATAGTGCAAAGTGTTTCACTGCAGAGCAGTACTGACTAATGTTTGTTCTTTAGAGGAAAGAAATGGGAAATATGTCTTTGCCATACCTGTGGCCAAAGTGGAACTCACTTACAGTGTAAAGGATGGGCTCGACCACTTCCAAGATGGCTATGTAATGACTGTGAGATTATCTCGTTGAATAATAGCCTGGAAAGTAGAACWTCCTTAGAAGCGAGTCCTAAACTAGTGATTGATAATAAAGAACCTCTTAGCACCAYTGAAGTAGAGGAAGCTGTCAGAACCAATGAACAAGCGCTAATGTTCACATCTCGTATTGAGTCGCCTGTGTTTGTAGAAAGCTCATCAGAGACATCAAGTATTGTTGAGTCTCTTGYTTCRTCCTCTGTTCAAAGTCATAATTTAGTGGATTTAGTTGCTGATCCRTGTGAAAACTCYCGTTTYATGACCCTGACTTCTTCYWCCTCTGTTCCTGGGAATGATTCTGATAAAATCTCTGAAGCTTCGAGTGGTGCTCTCCCTGATGATAGSTCAAATTGTCACTTAGTTGAAAATTCTTGTGACATTTTAAGGTTTGTCGCTCCTGTATGCTCTTCTGACTCGTTGGTACAAGAAAAAGATGAAACATCCTCGTTAGAATCGGAATCCACCATCATGTTAGAAGACTCAATTAATTCTACAGTCTACAGCACGGATGAGATGAGTGATCACTTCCAGGAGGAGGAAGCAACTTTTGGATCCTTGTCAGAAAGAAATAATGCTGCTCTACTCTCTAAGAAGAGGAGATTTCTTCCTTGTTATAAAAAACGCTCTTTAAGACAAAATATTCGMGAGAGAAAACAGAAGAAATGCAAGAATCAAAGAAGCAAACTTAGTCCTAATTCTAAACAAAATGGTTTGAGTTCTACAGAGAAGGATAAAGAGAGTTCTTCAATGCCTTTATTGGCAAAGGAATGTCTTCAATCTCTTSAAATTAGCCASATGCATGATCTTGCCAAAGACCATGAATCTGAGAAAAATGCATCAATGTCTTGTAGTGAGCAAGTAACTCCTGGTAATGATTATAGAACTGATAGCTCTTGCAGAATGGAAATTAAAAAGAAAACAAAGAAAAACACTTCAAAATCTATCAGCGAGAAAGCCAAGGTGACTGTTAATGACAGTGTCAATGGTAGTAGTGGAGAAGAATGTGGCGGTAGGGAAATTAAGTTCACAACATCAACGAACCAAACCTCCAATCATTGTAGTAAAAGCAAATATAGAAGAAAGCAAAGAAAGCAAAGAAAGCGTCCTATAAAATCAAGTACAGTACAAGATACCACATGTATTATCCCAGAACAATCAATAAAGGCAAACTCGTCATGGGTAACCATGGACAAGCTTCTGTGTGATAGTGAAGATACTTTTAATCAAACAGAATCAAAAGAGCATCAGAAAGAAGACACTTTTACACTTATCAATGATAGTCATGCTATGACTGCTAATGGGACAGAATCCACAGAGAATCAAAATATAAGTATTTCAAAATCTACACGAAAACTAGATGTATTTTGTATGGATAACATTTCCAACGGTGACGATAATTTGACAAAAATTACTCCCAAACCTAGAACAGGAAAAGAAGCAATTACAAGTTGGCAAGATCCTTCACAACACGGACTTAATGGATCCTTTTCTCTTTCTTTAGATGTGAGTGCAGACTCAGAGACTTTAGGTTCTTGTGTTAAACCTGGAACATCAAGTACTTATTGTAATGTAAGCATTACATCTGATAGAAAAGATGAAGCATCACAATGTCTTACACCAACAAAGTCATCACAAAAATCAKCAATTTCAAGTAGTCCATTCCTATCAAACTATAATCCTGACGGRAAAAYTGTTTCCCCTTGCTTTACACCATCAAAGTCACCAAAAAAGTCACCAAGTTCAAGAAGCCCATGTATTAAAAGTCGTAAAAGCTTATCAGGCCAGCTGGACTTGTATGGTATGTTAACATCTCAAAGGAGAAAGAAAAGAAAGTTGAGTCCTGAATTGAAAAAGRTCTCAACAGAAYGTAAAAGTCCAAAGAAGTTARCCAAACGTCTCAAAAGACGGAAAGTCGACACTTCTTGTCATCGATCCATAACATCGTACATGAGTGTCAGTCCTAAGAAAAAAACAGTAAAAGCAGAGAAATCACCACTTCAGTCATGCATTGAAGRAGCATCGCAGTTATTTAGCAGCACTTTAAGCAGATTGAGTGGCCTTTACCAGAAGAATGATAGTGAGGACGACTTTGTTGGAAATTCAAGTTCTAAATCATTAAATACTTCTGTACTGACTGACTCAGATACTGACAGCACGTCAAGTGTGAAGGTAGTGAAAGTTGTAAAGAAGAAAGGTTGTTCWGAGGGTGACACTGACAAGACCKAGCATGCGCTTTATTCTAGTGATGATTTAAGCCTTACTATAGTTCTTGATGATGATAGTGATGGTCAGGACAGTGGAAAGGGAGGTAGCCGTGACAACAGCGATGGGGCAATTAGCTGTACAAGTTTTTCTGATTGCAAAGGCAGCAATGAAGAACTAAACGAGTCATGCAGAGTAGAGGTCGACAGCACTGATGAAGGAATTTTCTTYGGTTCAGATGATTCTAAAGAAATCAGCAGCAATCTTGTTGCAAGACATGATGATGACAGAACAACCAACCAGTCATCACAGATGATGGAGAAGGGAGACTGCCAAGAAATGGCAGCAAAGCTATCAAAACAAAGTCTTAATAAAGCAAAACAACTCACTAGCTCCCCAAAAATGCGCAAAAGAAAAATACTAAGAAAGAACAAGTCATCAATCATWACACCAAATGAGTCATCCATTTTGGATCAAACAAGTTCAAAYACACACTGTCTATCATCACAAAATGTTAATTCAGACACTCAATCTTCAATTCCCCTAAAAAGAAAACTCAACAATATCGAAAGGTGTTCATCTTCAAGTGTTGTTGAAGAAAGTAGCTCTGATGAAAGTGTAGCTCCACTGAGAAAAAGGCACAGGACGTTATCTCTGTCCAAGACAGCCAAGGCCAATCTGTACAATGAATGTAGCGATGAGGATTTCCAGTGCAAGAAAAGYCGTTCATCATTTAAACTGATTATATGTCAAAATAAACAGAGAAGAACAAAGAAGAAACTTGATGAAAGTTTCCTTACTATAGATTTATCCTCACAGGAGATTTAACACAATATCTAGCAAGAAGTTCATGTTTTGTACATAAAATTATGGATACATTATTACAATAGATTTCAAGTTTTGAATAATTTTATTTTGAGTGAAGACATAAAACCTGGGAGAAACTATTAAAGATTAGGACATCATAGAAAATTAGGCTACATCTTCAAAATGCTGACCCCACCCCACACAGTTTTCAAATATATCAAAGTGGCCTTAGAAATTATTGGATATCGTTGATATTCTAAGTACTCATAGGTCATTTTTGATAATATTTGAAATAAGACAAATTAGATCAAAATGTTTTGCAAATTAATGTACCATCATATCTATTTACATGTATATTTGCATAACAGTTACTTCCTAATAGTCTCCTTCACGGTTACCTGCGCCATTTTGAAAGGTAGCCGTACGTTGAGCATACAATGATAGATACCTGTGAATAATTGTCTGTAGATGTGAGAGAAGGTTTCTATCATTGCATGCTCAGCAGTCGTCTCGCTTCGATGTGAAAGCATGGCCACCTTTCYAGATGGCGCAGGGAACTGTGAAGAAGACTATTGTCAACCAGTGTTATAGCAGTCACTTAATTCATTATTTTTGTTTATTCAGGCAAATTACTCCTGACAAATTAAATTATGTGTTTCCAAGGTTTAATGTCTCGCTCAATTTAAGTGAACATTTTATGGAGCTTTAATATCTCAAACAATATTTTTTATGTAAATTTCATTAAGATCTATATCATTGAGAATCTATATAATATAGCAATGCATCCATTAATAAATCTCTGGTACTAGCCAAGCATGATACCCAGGACTGAATTATTGTTGTTTTTGCAAAGTTGTTGCAAGCTTGCAACAGAAAAATTTGCATTAAGACTTCAAAGTTTGTTTACTTACTTTTAGATATTTTCTTCTCTTCTGTCATTTAATCACTGAGCTTGTGTTATGAGAGGACTTGGGATGGCTGCATGGAGATTGCGAAGGATGAAAATATAGGAATTGGCCCTCCCTAGTCCTCTTAGGGCCACTATGCAGGCTACAGCTGTGTGACGTATGCTAACGGATAACTTTTGAGTCACAAAGTAAGAATTTCTGTGGTAAGGTTTAATAATATTTGGAGTTTTTCTATCACTCAATCTTTCCTCATAAATTCTTCTTACGTAGAGTAATAGCTGGAAAAAGCCCAAAAAACAAACAAAAAAAGCAAAGGAAAACTAAAGGCGGCTAAATACGAGATACAAAAACCATCAACTTGGCGCGAAACATTGTTTCTGTTCAAGTTGAGCTCCTATGTTTCACATTTTTCACAATGTATTTTTGTTGCATGACAAGTTGACGATGCATGAAAAACGATAAACTTCAATGGTCAACTTGAACAGAAACAATGTTGCGCGCCAAGTTGATGGTTTTTGTATCTCGTATTTAGCTGCCTTGAAGGAAGTCTATGATAGCCTGTGTCACATCTATGTGACGCAGGCTAGTCTATGACTGCATGTGGTGGTATTCCAGATAAAGCAGGGATTCTGGCATTATGTGCTAAAATAAGTCGAAATTATGAGGTAAAAAGTCAAAAAGATACACAAACTATCTTGCAAAACCTTTTAAATTATGACTGACTTCATACAGATAACTAATCATTGGCAAAACCTTGGATGGTATAGAATTATTTGTTTCCAGCCTAACATTTTTCTCCTTTATCTTTTCACAGTTTTCCCCCTTAACCTGCTTTCATCAATGTTGGGTCTTGTTTTGAATGGTTGTGTGCTATGYTAACATGCTCAATGACATTGCATTTAGGGGGTCAGGGTGGATGAAATTGTCAAAGATTGTAGGCATTTTCAGTTTCAAGCACGCTCTCTTTGATATTTTCCAACCAAMCAGAAGCACACACCTTAGTCTTCTCGCTCAAAGGCCAGTAACGRCAGCCATGTTTGGCCTGAAAAGTTTACTTTCTTACTTTCAAGCCCAATAACAAAGTGCCTTGACTTGCATCTTGCAACACAGCTACAATTGTAGCCACAAAAKAGACAAAGAAAGGGAGACACTGTACCGTTTATCACTTTTAGTATTCTATGCATATTCATAAGGAGTATCATCATACAATATTGTACTTGGAATGTATTCTTTAGCTATTCTTTAGAGGTTCACACTGAATTCCATGCTGAATGTTCCCAATCTAATAGGATTATGCCTGGAATAGTATTCTAGTATGACTTCTCCTTTGTTCTCCTAGATTATAGATMTTTTTATCGTTTAACAATTTTATAACATTTCTTGAGTTTTTGTTTTTGAGTCTTTGAGACATTGTTCTATTTTGGACCAAGTCTTTAGATGCACAAGGTCAAACTAATTTCACCTCGTTAATCTTGGAACTTGTGAAACTACACAATTAACATATTCCTATGCCATTTTCCACAAGATTATATTTTAGTTATCAGACTAAAACAATTTTTATAAAATATCTGGTACAATATATTGGCAGTAGACTTGAATCTATAATATTTATTACTGGCTTTTCCTAGCAAGAGCTATATGAAGCCTGAAAATCTTTGCACCAGATAATATGGTCAAGATTCTAAGGCATGTTGACTTGAGCAATATGGCAATAACATGTAAGCCTGTAGAGGGAAAGGGTTTTGCGGTACAAAATGTCATGTACCTTGAGTAGTTTTTGTATGAATGTAAAACTAACTTTGCTGACGTGTATGCCTACTGCGAAAAAAGCTTGAATTCTAAAAAAATCTGTTTTGTCATTTGAAGAAAAATGCAAACAAAGCCTGACTGATAAAAATGTGGTTATTTTGTGAGAAATTCATTTGACCTTTCTGTAACCATATATGTACTTATGTTACTAACTAGCATAGCTTAGTAGTTTCACAAACGTCAAAAAAAGCCTTTCTCTATGACAATATTGATCTAATTATCTAGCCATTCCTCAAARGACCCTTTCTTTCCCACCCCACTCTGAAATTTCTGTGCTCCCTCGATACTCTGTTTGATTGTTGGAATCTTGACTCCTTTTTTATACTCGTAAGTAAGTGCATCGTAAAAGGAATCAGCATTATAGGCAGAGTAGAATGCTGACTTCCTGTCTGCCTTTAGAGCATCTTGTGGATACTTAGCAATCTGAGTTGCAAGCTTGATTGATGCTTCCACAGCRGCTCCATTTGAAACTACTCGATTAGCAAGCCCAATGTGTAACGCTTCATCTGAATGCACTGCCCGTCCTGTTATGATCAAGTCAAGAGCTCTGGAAAGACCAATGAGGTATGGCAGCCTTACTGCACCACCATCAAGCAATGGGACACCTGAAATGCCAAATGGTCAAGTGTCATTCATAGGCTTTTAAAACCAATTATTTTGCAGAAACTACAGAGTATAATTCATRTTTACCAAATCTTCTGTTGAAGACCCCAAAGACGGTGCTTTCCTCKACAATTCTTAAGTCACACATCAAAGCCAACTCCAGCCCACCACCAACAGCATGTCCTTGTATAGCACCAACTACAGGCTTGGTCAGTTTTAGTCTTGTAGGTCCCTAATAACACAAGGACCCTGTCAATTCATGGGAAAATGTACATAAAATAACATTTTTGCCACACTTGTGTAAATTCTTGCATGATGATTGGCTGATTAGAGTGTGTCAATAAGAGGACATGCACACTGCYCTGARYCCATCACGTATTGCACGTGCCYAGTRGAAAGAAAAAWTTTTAGACTAAAAATGTGGTAAAAAAKKTTGAACACAGTTTAWKCTTGTATMTGCTCTTATTGACACACTCTTGATGTTATWAAATGTTCAAAGCTTTGCAGTGAGTTTCATGACGTCAAGAGGACATACAACTTAAAAATATAACCACAACTAAAAAAACACTCTAATAATGGTGATATGGAAACATTTCGTTTATCCATATTGTCGCTTTTAATTTTTTAATTTTTAATTTACTGTTAGCTATTATTTTTAAAAACGTCTTGCTCATGAATAATTCATGACCGGAAGTGAACATCGTGCAAGATCAGGTTTACCACGCGTGAACGCGTGCACGATTTGCCTTCTTTGTCAACTATAGACAAACGAAATTGTTTTAGTTCAACTTTTCCCCTTTACTTCTAAACTATAAAAAAGAACTGCGTTATGAATTATACAACCCGGAGCACATCACAAATGCGCGAAAAAAAAATTGAAGTAAAGTTAAGTTTATTTAGCTCATCGAACGCTGCAAGATCAACCCACCATTGAACCATCTCCTTCGCCAGGTGGAGCTAGAYACTTTAGTTGATCCTCGGCCTCTTTTTGCGAGAGCTCTTCAAGATCATAACCAGAACAGAAATATCCTCCTTTACCACAAAGAACAGCTACAGCTGCGGAATCGTCTATCTCYAACTGCCTGAAACATGTCGCTAGCTCTTGAGCAGTCTCTGAATTGACAGCGTTCCTTTTCTCTGGGCGATTAATGGAAACTACCAATACTTTACCGTGTTGTTCAGTTTCAACGAGTGAGCTTGCAAGCCTTCTTGCTGGTGTTAGAACGCGAGGAATTCTAGATAACAAACGTGAACTTCTCAACACTAAACTCGCCATGTTTGTGCAGAAAAGTGTTGTTGTTTGTAAGCTCTCTCAATGGGAACCTTATCCTGCATGCGATCCRTGGCCCCACGAGTTTATAGCCCCACTTTATACAAATAACGATATTTTACTCATACCTTAAAAATTCTTTATAAAAATTATGTATCTTATTTAAAATTTTTAAAAATGATATACCTGTAGCCGTATTTAGCATAGGTACGTTTTTGATGGTGGGGGAAATGCAAATAAAATAAGTCCCTCTCATCTGTCACCGCGGTTACCAAAGAACCAATCACAATCCTTCGGTTTGAGTACAGGAAATCCAACATGGCGGCAGTTRGATGGCGGGAAGAAAGATTTGTTATACTAGAAACGGTAGTTAAGCTGGTTTTTYACCCGATGAAATCACTATATTATTACTGATCGATGGAGATATGAATCGTTCTTCGAATACYTGCGGTTCTTATGAAGATGAGGAATCCATTCGAGAATTGGTAAACTTTTGGGACATGCACTTCATGCCCGGCCTAAATTGATTTTAACTTAACTTATGCTTAATGTAGTGTTTAGATTCGATTAAACTAATTRGTTTAGCGTGAATTTATTCGAAAGAATAGTCATGCATGTTATTATTTCAAGCATTACAAATTCAGCTGTTTGTGTTGGGGWAAATATTTTGGTCAAGCCTGGCGCGCTGTCATTTRACAGCTTACWTAGTTCTCACACCTTTGAATGTACAATTGCTGRATWAAAGKTTGCTRCATTCTAATAGCCAAGCTAAGATAGTCAGCTAATTGATTAAAGCCAGGAAGATTTAATGTAGCTAGTAATAACTTAACATGCCCTTCTTCGCCTTGATTTGCATGCTTTTGTAACTTTCATTCTCTTCTCTTAACTCTTTATGAATTTGCTGGCTCGTTTATGTAGGCTAACAAGACTAATGCTTCTCACAATGTGAAGAATTACAATCAAAACCACATCAAAGAGTTGGTAAATATACCATACATTGAAGCTCATATGTGCTGACTTCAGTGCAAAATGAGGATGAAAAAATTGAAGCAGTTTGCATTAACTTCAGCTCGTGTGATATTGTGCATGAAATGGGTATGACCGTTTATACATGTAGCTCTAGCTCTGTGTAACAGAAGATAAAGTTACATGTACCATGTAAGGTTACTTAGCCTGGGTACTTGCCTAGAAAAAGGCCCTGGGAGCCATGAAATGGAGTATTGAACTTAAAGAACTCCAGAAAAGGAGAAATGCACTTAAGTTATCCATGAAATACACATGCCTGTTTTTCTTCAGTGTTCTTCCAATGGCATCAACTATGAAAAGCTCAAGAAAGGCTCCGTTAAAAACGTTAAAACACTGGAAATGTTTTTCTCTGGGTATCCCAGAATATGTGGCATGGAATTCTTTCCTGTGTTGCAAAGT